GAGTTTTAAATATATATATATATATCATTTTGCGAAGTCTGGATGTAAGAAGATTGATGTGTGTTTTAAAGTTAAGATGTCTGTCTATTATTATGCCGAGGTACTTTAAGTTCTCACTGGGAGAAATTTGTGGGCATTGACAAGAACATACTTGGCGAGAACAAGAGTGAACTTTTATAACAATAGGAAATTTTGGGTTGCGAGGAAGAACTAATAGAAAATGGTATAAATTTAGTTTTCGAAGTATTAAGGGTAAGAGTATGAGATAAGAGCCAGCTATGCACAGTATTAAAACCGAGTTGCAATTGTCTTTGAAGGGCTGACCAGGATTCGGCATAGGAAGTAATCGCTGTGCAAAGGTGATTATTTTTGCGCTATTGATTTTTAAATTGCATAAGTCATTTATAAATACAAGAAACAAAGTTGGACCGAGAATACTTCCTTGAGGTATACCGTAAGATACTGGAAGCTCATCACCTATGCAGTTACCTAATTTTACCATTTCCTTCCGGTCCATGAGATAACTTTGGAAGAAATCGTGTTGCAGTCTTCTGACATCCATTTTTTCTAACTTGGATAAAAGTGTGGGGACGGGGATCGTATCAAAGGCTTTCAAAAGATCAAGAAAAATTGTCATGACCTTCATGTAATTGTTAAGGTTATTTACTACAAAGTTTATTAATTCATGGGCTGCGTCAGAAGTTGATTTATTTTTACGAAAGCCGTATTGTTGTGGAGAGATTAAGTTATAATGTTCATGATCCAGATGTCCATGGGCGGCGGTATTCACTTAACATCAGGTGAACCGTCTGCTCGCTTGGCAACTTTTCACATAAAAAAGGCCGTCCCGCGGCTGTAATGCCTCAGATGATGATGATGAGAAGAGTTAAAAAGCACGAATACGTTTAACGTCGATCGTATAGTGGACGTGGTGCTTTTGCAGACGAAGCGACCCATTTATGCGGCATCAGAAGTTGCTGTGCGGCTTCTTGCAGTAATAATTAACGTAAGATAATAGCGTTAGAACAATTTCCTCGTCACCCTGTTGTGGGGCCACGCCCGACTTTATTAACTGACATCCGCACAGAATTAGTAGGTATGCACGCGTACGTTTTAGACAACAATAGCCTCCCGGTACTGTATTGACAGGCTTTGTTACGGCCTTGGGACACCGTGATTGGTTAGTCATCTTGTAACTTAATCGATACACGTTAAGTTCACACACAACCTAATCAATTCACAGGTTAATTTATGCAAAATGTCTTTTTCATCAATTAATAAAGTACATAAGATAGTAAATTCAGAAACAGAAACTCACTTAGATTTTCGGTTATAATTATGCCTATTGCAATATAAATCAGGAGTTTTTATGTTTACGACAGTTTTCCTTGACGAAATCACACGATCGAGGCTTGGGAAGGTGAGGAAGTTATCGTCGTAATTGGGTCACGTGTCAAGTGACTTAATGCCGTCATTTCGGACCCTGCTAACCCTGCAGGGTGCTTCCGAAACTGTTTAGAAGAGCCCGTCAGCGCTGCGAGCGTTAATGGCGCTTTGCAACAAACTTCCACGCGTTAAGCGACGTGTAGAAATTACACTAGATCCAACTGCACAGGTGAAAAAAAGGGACAATCGTATACGGGCGTATATTGCGGATGCAATCTTTAATCACGGCAGGCAAAAACGATTCCGTATCAACGGATACTTTTTATGGTTCCGTATATACTTTTAATACTTTTTTAAAGAGTAAAATGGCCCTATTATATAAGGCTCCACTGTCTGTCTGTCTCTGTCTATCTGTCACCAGTCTCATGAGCCGAGATAGGTAGTTGAAATTTTCAGAGATGACGTATCCCTGTTGCCGCTATAACAACATTTACTAAAAAACAGAATAAAATATATTAAAGTGGGACTCACATTACAATAGATATGGTTTTTTTTGCCGTTTTTATACATAATGGTCCGGAACTCTACGTGCGTGAGTCCGACTGGCACTTCGCCGGTTTTTTTAAGATTGTGTTATTTATGTAACAAGATGATTGTGTTAGTTATCTCATCGTTTAACCGAATAGAGACCACATTCAACCAAACTTTTTGAATCCCATACCGTACTTGATAAGCCATAATATATATTGACGTAGAAGGGACACAAACGAAAGATATACATGAAAATCATTTTGCGCACGAAATTGTGATACCGCGTAGCCTTCGACTGCGAATAAGCGCACATCACTATTGCTATTAATGCCTCATTGTCTATGGATGTCACTGGAAATAATTGGAGTTTTATTTCAAAGTGAAATGAAAAAGTAAATCGACACCTAGTCTTTGTTGTATGTATGAAAAAGTAATTCGACACGCCGGGAGTAATTCGGCCCCAATTTATCACCATTACGCGCGGCTTTCGGCGGGATTTTGTGTCGCGCGAAAAACTAACCTAAAAGTGACGGCGGGTTAATAATGAACGCGCGAAAAGAGAGCTCGAGGAAGCCGGGCGTGTTGTCGCAAGCATGTGGCAAGTAGCTTGAGTTCTTTCAAGCTTTCTATGTATATTCTGTTGAGTCTCGTGTCTTGTATCGGTATCGACTCGAGTCAATTTAAAATATTGGTGCGCAGTGCATATTAATTTCTTGTTTTGAATTCTCGTTTCAATGTAGTTTCTCGTTTAAGTATAGCTGTCGAAGTGTTTTTCGGGCCGTCGGGTTTAGTTTAGTATAATCGAGAAACATTAATATCAATCTTAAGTGCCGACTTACTAAATGCTTGCGGTGAAGACACTTGCTTATGTGTAAAGTAAAAAAAAAACGGACCAGAGCCACGTCTTCGGCATTCGCGGCCTGACGCTTTAGCCACTAAGCTAAATGGCTGATTGCCACACCGACGAAAATCTTAACGTCTTTTATATCTACATTGTTTCTTTAGCATTTGAAGCAATGTTTGGCGCATCTATTGTTATATCCTTTCCAGTATACAAACAATTTCGAATATCGTTTTACAACGATAACTTCGAACGAGAGATGTCGCCATTGCTTTTTGGAAATTTAAAGTTTATTATAGTGCTAATCTCTGCGCTTAAGATTTAACATTAAAATTTGTAGAAAAAGTAGTTTCGATTCCCACAGCGTCGACAAACTTTTCGTACTTTTTCTACAAATAATAATGACTTAACTGACTTTTAAATCGTCTTAACTATCTCACATATTGACATTCTTTGAAATCGTTGATTAGCGCTCAACACCCATAGATAGATTTGGTTACTGGAGATACAATTTTGACGTAAGTACTATAGAGTTAATGGCAAATACCTATCGCTAGTAACCAAATCTATTTGTAGATAGAATATTGGGACCGGCCGTTAAGCATGCTTTCTTAGCGCTCGCACGTTTCATCAAGTTGTTGGCCAAAGCATCCGTCAATGGAATGTGCTGCAATAAAAAATTGCGCGTTCCACCGGATCTAGGTCAGTCTGAATGGAGTGCGCCCCTTTCATAGAAGTCCAGTGTTTTGCTTCGGATACACGACGCCCCGCTTGCGGAATTATGCGACACGAATGATGCTTTTAGGTCCAAGATTAGAAAATGAAAACATCGTGATCGCTTTACTGCTATATAAGTATGTACATTAATGAACAGGTTATAGAGGAACGGTTTGGCTGTTCTCTTTCTCCGTATGATTAAAATGTGGTTTGACTTCAAGACAAGAGGGTAGTGAATGGTAGGATTATAAACGCACCAGTCCTGTGCGTTGAAATTTATGCTTGTTTTTAGAATAACGGCCAAACTTTCGATTACTGTAAATTAAACTTCTGCTATGCGTTACGTGAAAACAAACAGTCCTTAGAAATCTAAATAAATGTGGAACCATTACGTCAAAAGGTTTACTTGTTTACGATTCAAATATACCACCAGAATTGCCATTACCGCCATCGAGTTTACAAATGCGCTAGTTTTTATTCTTCTACTAATTTAACTTGTGATTTCTTTATAAAATTTGAATGAATTTACGCATAATAAATAATAAAAGCCAACAATTACCATATTGTTTACAGACGATGTAGATAATATAGTATATAAACAATATCATACTTATTAGCATTCGCCTATTATTGTTCTGTTTAATGTTGCTTAAAATCTTATAACCATCACGCGAGCGTCGAACAACAGGCGATCATGTTTTCATTTTACATTTTAAGATAGAGCTGTCTTCGTTAATTAAGATTCCTTATATCCAGCAACCAACTTATTTCTGCTGTGAACGAACGAACTACAATTTGTATTAATTAACGGAATCTTTACTATACATTTTTTCACTAATAGCTTTTTCTATTTGATGTTTATTAATGAGTTGCAGCAATATCAATATTTTTAATAATGATTTGCTGTGGTAGGATTAGGCAACAGGATGAACCACACCCTCACAGTAGACCGGCGTAAGGTGGAAGTGTTATTATACTTCTGCGTTTCGTCTATCGAGTGAGGTGTGCAGGACCTACTTTATTGAAAGATTTGTAAATAAATAATTGCACCCTACAGGTGTTGCAAATGTTTATGGGTTTCGGTTGTCACTTAACAGAACCGCCTGCGCTGGCGGTTCTTGACATGTTTTTACGTAAACAATCCCATTAAAAAAAATCCATCTGCAGTCATTTATTCAACCTTCCAGTAGCGGGGTAGGTGTTTTAGTAGTTTGGGGGTGGGCACGGCTGCATTTGGTAGTGCGAATCGGATTAAAACTTTTAATTGAAATTCTCAATAGCCGCGTACCGCTCTAGGTTTTGCACTAAAAAATGCACACTCCACGAATATTTGGAGCTCGTGTAATTTACGCTACACCTAGTTTTCAGCAAACTAACCTTTAAAATTAGTAGAAAAGATGAAAGAAATGTGTTTTACAATATATTTTATTAGATGTGATATTATTTATTTATAATGAAAAAGTTAAAACGATCCGTTAATTACAAACAGAATGCACTGACGATGGCTAAGACATATCAACGCTTAAGGGTTGGCAGTTGATGACTGTTGTAGTTCACATCGCTTCTTTTCGTAGGGAGACCAAACGATCGTCATGATGGTGGTTTGGTTCGTCTAAAATGTATTTTGAAACAAACCATTATAAATAACACCAGTCATATCTAAATTATAGTCGAAAAAATTGATCTTACTTCTAATTGTTCTCCTTGAAAGGCGGACTTTGGAGTTCTGTGATGTTGTTTAGTGTATCTTAATACACCTTCCGTACATTTTCACGTAGCCTGATGGACACCGGTCGGCGCCGAAGATCATTCTTAGCTGTATTCGTTCCACTGCTGGTTCCTTTATTGCTGCTAAAGTGACGCCATAGGAGACGGCGATATGTAACAGAAAGTATGTTGAGAGAGTAGTAAGGTAATAGAAAAACGAGCAGTGTTTATAAATTGGACGAGCACGCAGAAGTATTCTGCTGTAGCGGTGACTTGGGTCTATTAAAACTGTCTTACCTGATTCCCTCACTTACATATAAATAGCGGAATTGTAATGTAAAGTATTTACCAGGAGATCCTTTAACTCCATATTCTTGTAGACCAAGGTCACCATTTGAGTGTTCACAGCCATCTTCTTTGTTATCTTTATCTTCATTTCCGTGTGCAGTGGGAAATTCTTTCCGTGCAAAGTTTATTTCAACTCGAGCGTCATCTGTTTTAGTCGTGACACCTTCGGCACAATCAAGTTTTTCTTTTATAGCTACGACACTGGTCGTGGAAATAAGGATGAGCGCTGTGAGGTATTTAATAAGCATTTTCGAATTCCCTTCAGTATAAATGTCGTTGTTACAAACAAATCGTAAAATCCAATTGCGTGTAGCTCTCTCCGTCGAGTGGTTCACTACTTGATCGTTTCGATAGTGACTCGTTATCGCTTCATTATCGAAACACTTAATTGGATGCCTGAAATCAATTTAATGTCCATTTTGATATTGACCGCGGACGCAGTTTTTGGTTGATTGCCTGCTCATCAAGATAAATTGGACCACCTTTTATCGCGTATAGTACAATTTAGCGCTGTGCCTTTTATTTTCCTACTATTACTCAAAATGGATGTTTTTGTGAATCGAGAATGCAATAGATTTTAGACTCAGTGGCGTCGTTCCTAAGCTATTGGCTTCGGCTTCGGGGGTAGTGGTTTCGATTCCCACACGAGACAAAAAATGTGAACCACTAGAATTGTTCCGGATCTTGGTTTTTGCTTCCCAAGGAGGGTTGACATCAGGCAGGCAGCGGTCGTGAAAACATAGCCGAAACTACTTACCACATGATTCACATAACTGGTGGTTAACTGTGGTAGGGCCGCGCAACAGTGTTCGCTGTTGCACGAATGGGCAGGTCCGTCCGGGTTAGTACCACGACCTCACAGAAGACTGGCACGAAGTAGAAGTGTCACTCTTTTGCGTTTCGTCTGGTGAGTGAGGTAGCTGAGGCGCACTTTATTAAAAGGCGACAACGCAACTGCAACCCTACCTGTATTGCAAATGTCCATGGGCGACGGCTATCATTTAACATCAGGTGAACCGCCAGCTCGATTGTAACTTGGTCACATAAAAAAAATGTGACGGCTTCATCTAGGTAAGATAAGGGCAGCCCGATGATGATGAATAGATTTTAGACATCCCGTGAAAAGGTAAGGTTTGTTTGCAAACTTAAGTAAACACCACCCAAAGAAAACGTGTAGAATATTGCATAGTTTAAAATTCCAAAAAAAAATCGTGAACAGCCGTTTGACTCATCACGATATCTCTGGAACCATAAGGCGTAGAGACTTGAAATTTGGTAGGAATATTCCTTTCGCCGAGTATATCGCCGAGATCAGATAAGAAACGACGATTTTACGAAATTCCACAAAACAACATTTGCCGGATCGGCTAGTATATAAATAAAGCATGTTTGTTAAAATAAATATTATAAGGTTCTATTCTAGTTTAAATGGTAATATTTGGAGGAGAGTGTGTTAAACAAAATTATTTGTTTAACAATTTTTTCAATTTATTTACAAAGAGTTTATCGCCTGTCTTAGTAAACAGTTTACTATATACATTTAAAATAAAAAAAATAATAAATCTAATCCGAGGCTAAACGCTACAGTGATCTTTTCAGAACCAATATTTGTAAATAAAATGCGCAATCACATATTCATTATTTATTTTTATTGACAATAGATAAACATTGCTATCAGTAATCTTACTGATAAGAAATACATTAAAGACTGCATTACTCAAGCATTCATTCTGAGGGATTGGTGTTTACAATTATTAATAATGTAATATATTATTGAGAGCTTAACTTATTTCTTTATACATGTCATTATGTCTTTCAATACATTGTAATATTGTTTTAACCATTGATACGATAACATGTTTATCTTACCTATATATAATGTAGATTGGATATTACCATTTAAGAACTAATTTTGCTGGTTTACATAAACGCCTTATTTAGAGACAAAATACCGTTTATTCCATCTTTGGCTCAAAGTTAAGAATTAACCGAGATAATTTCCTCTTGTGAATGACAAAAGAAAATTGTTTATTAATATAAAAAGTACGGGCCACATAATTACTTTATCTAAAAACATAGAGAAGTGTTTTATATTGTTTGGATATAAATTAACAAATTTGTGCTCGGAAACTCGTCTGGTCGTGAAAAAGAATAAATCGCATAAAGGAATTCCGATACAGACTTGCTTTGACCGCCCGTCATTGCAACGTGAAAGTCAAAAGCTGCCAAAAAAACTTGCCGGTGAAAATCGCAATGCAATCGTTCCGTTTATTCCACGCTCAGCAAAAAGGCCACTCGCCCCAGGCCAGCGACGCAGTGCAATTGCTCTTTTACGGTTCATTCCATATAAAACGTTCGGACCACTTTTATACGGACAACTTGTGTTGTACGTACAGATATGTATTTTATCGTTAATTGTTCCCCGCTTGTACGAGGCTGTCTGCTTTATTAAATCCCCCAGAGAGAATACTGCAAGTTATTAAAGCTTTAAGTGTCTCCCCGTTTGGTGCGGTTTGTTTATAGGAACGAACGGCGAATGCAGTTTTATATACGTACCTACTTCTTAACTACAGTCAACTGTGCTACAGTGCACGTTATGGAACAGATGTGAGAAGTGTTAGGATTGAGAGAAGGGTTTATTAATGTTCTTTACCTCACTGCTAATACCCTTAATGCTCTCGATATTTATAAGTAGAAAAATTCTGTCACAATTTCATTTTTAGATATTAAAAACGTCAGATTTTCTACCACGTAAGATAAAGGTTAAGAGATTTTCATGACTTTGAAATGCTTTGTCTTATTTTTTTGGTTAGAACACAATTAAACGAATGTCTGTTATTATCCTATATTATATATTAAAACTTTAATTGACGGTCGAACTTCAGTTGTCAATACTAAGTTACAACGATGCAACACATTTATTGATTTTCGCCACTTTTACGTATCCGGTTGGGCAAGAGTCACCGCCGAATATGACGTTATCGTCGACTGTTAACGGTTGCGCTTCAGTTTCCTTTGTGTTCCCTGTAGTTGTTGTTGTTCTTCCTTGGTACGATTGGGGATGTTGGTTCTTTTGGAACACACCCTGGCCTGACAGTACTGGATTAAGGGTGTGGGGATTGTTTGGATAGTAAGGGTTGGAAGGGTACTGCTGGGGAGGATTATAGTGGCGAGAACGACGATGATCACTAGGTTTATCTCGCTGACGAATCGTGTTGTCCCGGTAGCGTTGAACCGTCGGCATTATTACCTCCCTCTTTGTTATTCTTACGTCGCTGAATATATGCCCATTAGGGAGTTGTCCGACGTCTTCATTCCTCCCATGACCGCCAGTTTCGATTTCTGGAATTTTCCCCGTCACTTGGTCGATTGAAACACCGGTTCTCACATTTTTCGCATCGGACACTTGATTGCTACGCAAATTTAAACTTTGAACGGTCGATAAAGCTGTTGCGACGATGAACAGACACTTTAGACGCATAGCTTATAATTAATCGCGTGGGTCGATCGTTCGAAACTGTAGATATGTTTGGACCAATTTCCGAATACAGTCCACATTTATTGTGTTGTATTCTTGATAAAAAGGTGATTTGTATGTATTTAGTGATCTGCGGTTTTCAAGTGAACGATAAGTTAATGGGTTTTTAAAAAGGTTGCAACTGTATTACAAGTATTGGACGTTTGTACTCATATAATAAAAACAAAGGAAAACAACGATAGCACTGCTGAGTTTCTTGTCGGTTCTTCTCTGGACACGCCTAGTTTAGTGAACCGCTGATAGTTTATGACATTCAATAAGAGCATAAAATAAGCCTATATTGAATAAAGAAATTTTCACTTTGGTAATTTTTGATATCCCGTGTGGTGCTGGTAATTTATTACGTGGAAACCTTGTCCATATATATATATATATATATATATATGGACAAGGTATATCGGAATCTCGGAAACGGCTCCAGCGATTTTCATGAAATTTAGTATGTGCGTAGATTCGGGGGCGAAAAATCGATCTAGCTAGGTTAGGGAATGAAAAATATCATTCGAATAAGACAGTAAATTTCGCCGCAAAAAAAAAAATGTTATAATAGCTCGGTCGGTAATTGGGCGGCCCCAAAACAGACGGCCGCGGTTCGTGTCACGATCATTTACACATTTGTTTTTTTACTTTTTTTTCTATACTAGATCATTTTCTTTATTTTTTTTATTTCCAAAATACATGATTTACCAAAAAAAAGGTCCTCTACGTACTATAGTTTTATTGAATAATTCAAATGACTGTATCGTTCAAAGCTCTTATTTATGATAAAAACGTTATCAGCCTTTGTATTTGTATATACATTCTAAACACGTTAAAATATAGCAGTTTGATTTCGGCATTACAAATGTTTAGAAAATAGTAAAGCTCACAAATTCTTAATTTTTTCTTTATTTCAAATGTTTTAACGATTTATTTTCTTAAAACATTAAAAAATATATATGATTGGTTAAAACAGGGAGTTTCTGTGTAACCCCTACTGATCTGGGTGTTTGTCCATGTGCAATTTGCTCCTTTTATAGGAATAGTGACCATTTTTTTACTAACGAAAAACAAAACCGACTTCAAATATCTCGCTCTGTATTCATTTAATAATTGATTTTCAGGAGTTCCCGAAGTATCTCAGGAATCCAATACCAGTGAAATTAATATAGGTCCAAATGGGAAATACCAGCTTTCAAAAAAAAAAAAAGAATCATCAAAATCGGTTCATCATTCATCATCATTTCAGCCTGTTTGAGTCCACTGCTGAACATAGGCCTCCCCCACAGACTGCCATGAAGTACGATCCTGAGCCACCTGCATCCATCGACTTCCCGCACATTTGCACTTAGTTAAAAGTTATGAGATAACAAACATAAAAAACTCTAAAAAATCTCCTCGTTTTGAAGTCGGTAAATAATTAGTGAATTACGATCCAAGGTCATCAAACGTTTTTTCTTTTATGTGAAAAGTTGCCAGGCGAGCAGGCGGTTTACCTGATGTTAAGTGAATACCACCGCCCATGGACATCTGCTACACCCGAGGGTTTGCAGATGCGTTGAGAACCTTTTTTAAAATTGGGCTCCGGCTACCTTACTCACCAGACGAAACGCGAAGGTATTATACTTCCACTTCGCACCGATCTTCTGTGAGGTCGAGGTACATACCCGGTGGAGCTGCCCATTCGTGGAGCCGAGGCTGCTGCGTGGTCCTATCACCTAAGTGTGCACCGTGTAAACAAGGAGTGAAATTCCTACTTGTATATTTACAACTTAGCCGAATACGTAGTAATTACGTGAGCAATAGAGGTCCTAGCGAATGAAGTATTTATCTAAGGATTATAATATATTATATTAGATTAATGATGTGGCCATTTCGCTGCCATATCGCGCCATTCACAAGACAAAGGAGACTCTATCCCCTTCTCAACGAGGGCTTTGCACAAATACTCGCCGTCCGTTTTATTTATCTCCCATTCGGGACTAAAGACTCCTTTATGGGTGGTCATATGCTCTGTCTGGACTCGAGCTTTATATATAGTATATGTAATTATAGTCTACCCTGAGGCCACATATAAGTAGCGTTTTATTATACGGTGACAATTTTTTATTATACAGTCATATATTCGCATATCAATTTAATGTAAAAAAAAGTTATAAAAAATTGTTTAAATCAACTTCAAATATGCAATATTCAATTTTCTTATGCTTATCTCTTATTAATTATTATCAATGATCTTTGGTTTTATAAGCGTGACCATCGATAATCTTTGATAGGTTTAATAAATCTCCATCAGTTTTCAGTTGAAGGAAATTTCTGTTAATCGTTTACGTGAATCATAATTAAAATCACTGTTTTACTTTCATGCCCCGAGCAGGACATCTTCGAATTGAAATCGTTAAAATGTTGAATTTTACGAGTGGCCTTTGTATACTTCATAGTGAATAAAAGACCTCAGAAGGAGCTTTTCGACTTGAATAGTTTTTCAATGTCAACCCAAAATTTGGTAGCTTTTTCTAGTTTCTGGGATTTCGTGTGCTCAACTGGGGCAGTCATCACCTGTTCGGTATACGCAGGCCAATCTAAATTACGTAAAATTATTCACGGCGAAAAAAAAAAGCAATCCTAAATCCTTTATCAAATATTATCAGCCAATAAACTCATAAGGCAATTGCCATTTTGTTAGCTTCGTCTTCCCTTACCCGAAAATTTTGAGATTCGGAATAAATAGAGTCAATCTTTTTTTTTATTGTGAAAAGTTTTATGAGCAGGCGGTTCGCCTGGTGGTAAGTGATTAACGCCGAAACGTCTGCAACACGTAAGGGGTTGTAGGGTACCGTCGTCGAAGGGAACCGTCTGAGTATCCCCACCTGAACAGGCTCTCTTTACTTCGACCGACCTTCGTCTTAAATCTTTCTTTAAAGACTTCCAAGTTTGGCATGTCCTGGCGGTGGTTTTCAGACAGTGGGACAAAGGGGCTAGGGACAACGACACTTTCTTGTCCAGTAGGTAATGGTTTTATTGGTGATATATAATTAAAGCCAGTAGTTTCAAAAAGTACGTGGCAGCATTATTTTTTCTTGCATTACAATGCAGTAGATTGTAATGAAACTAGTTATGATTGAGCTCAGTGTCCGGGCGCTCGCCTTTTATTAAATATACTCAAGCAACCTGATGAAAAGTTAGCAAGCAAGTAATACTCGAGCAACCTGAGTTCGATCCCCGGTGCTGGCACCAACGAAGTTTTTAACTTTAAGTGCTGACTTATCACGTGCTCAGCGGTGAAGGAAAACATCGTGAGGAAACCTGCATATTTTCGAAATAATAACAAAAAAAAATATTTTTCGAAGATGTGTGAAGTCCGCCAATGCGCAGTGGGACCGCGTGGTGGACTATGCCCTGTTACCCTCTGTATAAAGGAGGCCTTTGCCCAGCAAGTGGGGCATGTATAGGCTGTTACTTTACTTTTACTTTTAGGTTATGAAGTATTGCTATGTATTATCGCCCTCAATATTCACTAGAATGTTGTAAGGGAATCAAAGCAGCATTTGAAATCCCAATCGATACTAACCCCCCACGGGGTTTTACAAACGCTACCTTAGTACTCGAGAGCTCGGCTTTGACTTGATTTCTCGAGAAAATCGAACGGAATGAAATCTCTTTGGTGAAACATGGATTTCGGACAAATGAAAGGAATCCATTTCTACGAATTTAACGAGTTCCGTTTTAAAGTACACTTTGGCTTTTACGATCCGATAAAGAAGGCCCCTTACCTTCTATCTAAGAAATGTATTATAACAAATATTACGAATATACAAGTTAGACTACTTACAACGAATGTAAAAAGCGTTAAAATTTTAATATTAGGTACTTTTTTACATTTTATATTAGCGTAAAAATGTTCAAAACATATTCTAAATTTTTTTTATCAATATTATTATATTTTATATTCACTTATTTAGTTTTACTTAGGTTAGTTAGTTATCATAATTTGGTAGCATATGTACGATATTTGTAAATGTTTTAATTACAATTCCTTTTATATATTTTTAAATGAAAAGAGCTCATCTAAACTTTCTTTATTTGTCTTTGACACACTTATCCGAAATTCTTGTGTATCCCGTCGGGCAATTCTCCTCACCGAAGACCACTTCATCAGCAGGGTTGCTGCCCTCGGTCGTCGTCGTCTTGCCTTCCGCGTCGGCAAAGTTGTAGATGCCCGGATTGTTGGGTTGCCCTCCTTGGCCGAGCATCTCCATTATCTTGAGGACGTCCATCAGTGAATAGTGGATGTGATGGTGGACGTGCTGGTTCCGGGGCAGGCTGTATGGGAGCTGTTGTTTCACATACTCATCCGGAAGCGGTCTATTTTGGCGCCTGGCGAGCTCCTGCCGTCTCCCAAGCTCCAATAGATCCTGTATCGATATACCGTCGGGGTTCACGCCGTTTTCCATTATGTTGGGAGTGTTGTAGAGATTGCGAGGGTCCTTATAGTCTCGGCCATTCCCAGGGAACCATTGCAAGTTCCTTGTTGCAGTAATGGCGTCGCTGTTGGCTGAGAGTGGAGCCTCTCTTTTACGACGTGCTTGCGTCAGTTGGGATCCGATCGCGACGCAAATTACCGCGATGAAAATTAGTTTTGTGGCCATTGCGAGCCCGTGGTTGTACCACTAACTGCCTACTGAATGCACGCTGCCGCAATGCTACATTATATCCGTGCGCTGTCGCTAATTGATGTGGTTAAAAGATAATGTAATAGGTTTTGGCTATCGAAAGTTATATTTAATTCGGTGCTTCTTTGAAGTATTTTAATATGCAATATTTAGGCGGTGACTAAACATCGATTATTTTTTATGGAAAAACTGTATTAGTGTATCTGTGCTCATTGAATTTTTGTTGCAATGTGTCTTTCGAATTATATATAATAATTTCACTCCTTTAATATAAAAGCTAACATACTTAACTTTAACCATAAATACGATCAGGATAATAATAAATATACATTATTTGAATAGTTATTAAAATTAGAAATACATATCCCTGTTGGTTTTTACGGTGGCAGGGCCATCCAACAGCCTCGGCTGTTGCACGAATGGGCAGGCTCGTCCGGGTAAGTACCACAAAAGACCGGCGTAAAGTGGAAGTATAATACTTTCGCTGGTGAGTTTGGTAGCCGGAGCCCAACTTTCAAAAGTTTGTCAACGCACCTGGAACCCTCGCGTGTGCCAGATGTCCACGGGCGGCGGTGTTAACTTAACATCAGATGACCCGTCTGTTCGCTTGGAAACGTTTCACATAAAAAACCGTCAAACATTACAAACCAGGGAATCACCACATGACCATCAAAGAAAAATATTCCAAAGTTAGCATCGTTAGATCTCTTTGTTATTGAATTTGGTGTTGAAATGAATGTTAGTGGTGAAAATGACTTCATAGCGATCGACAACAATTTTGTCCACATTTATCTATAATTCCAAGTTGTTTTATGTTAAACGTTTATCAAATGCGTTTAATGTATTATTCATAGACAAGCAGTACCGGCACAGGGGATATTTTTTCATTATTTTATCCCCTGTTTAATTCCCCTGTACCATTTAAAATTCATTTATTACGCTAAGGAAGCATAAATTCTTGCGTCCGTGCCTACTCACAAGTTGTTTTTCGAAAGAATGCAGCTCCCCTCGCGATTTTCCTTTACTGCTGAGCACTTGATAAGTGAGCACGTAAAAAAGTGTGGTCATCATTTGAGGGGTTGGTTGCTTGTCTTCAGATGCGGGGCTCCGGCGCTTGACCACGGACGGGCTGCTGAGCGCGCTGGCCCGCCTGCGCCGCCCCCCGCACCCCCTCCCGCACCCCGCAGCGCACCCCAACCGCCCCGTGAGTACATAGCAACATACTATCGCTTTATTTATACAGGGTGATGTTTTGACGAAGTACATACTTTGACACGATGTTAATTAAGCCTCCCATAATTTAAAAAAATATTAATATTTTATTTTGACATGAAATAACTCGAAAAATATCAATTCAAACAGTGTTTGTTTATCCCGTTAAGAGTGGTCACCCTATTGATACGCGGTTTGGTAGTTATGCGATCAGCGAACAGTTTTAGAGCTCGTCAATAGATCATTGTTTTGAGACGGTAAGGCGGGAATTTCTTAAGGGGTCCATAATGTTTGAAAAAATTAAAAATAATCTTTGAAGAATAAAATGAGATTATAATCAAATTCTGCATATGCTCTGTTAATGTCCGCCGTCTATAAAATCACCCTGTAGTACTGTCTTTCACTCGCTAATCAGCCAGACTACAGCTATCACTAGGCGGACTACTGCTACCGATTGAGCCGAGGTCCAGCCCTCTCGGGCACCCTCGAATCGGAATGCCCAACAGGTAGCAGCAGCCCAAGCCCGGGTCCCCTCTCGGGGGCCCTTGTTGCTCCATGGAGCGCCGGGAACTACATTTCAGCCATAACATTATACCAGTGACACGCGAAGTCTGTACTTTATTGATACGTAAGACTGGCTGAAACATGTTAAGTGCATACTATTCGTTGTTTTGTGTAGTATATATCCCTCCTCGATTAACCACAGTTTATATAAACTTTGTTGTTTCAAGATTTACGTTAAATGCATCATGTTTCGGACAACTAGTAAAGTGCAAACACTTGATATTCGACCAGCGATTAGGAAAAGCATAATAAATAATGAAAACTTATTTAAACTACTCGCTGCTAGTCCGTGTGCGAAACTTTTTGAAAATATTAATTAATTCCCACTAGTATCAATGTTTATACTTGTTCTTAGTATTGTCTTTCCATATTATTCAACACTACTTTCACTGGTTATAAACTACACTACCCACGATGTGATGGAGAATAGACACTAGAATAGTAAAAAAAAGTTTGAGTCCATGATAACATACACTGAAAAGCAAGTTAACATAATATTAAACACCAAAATGTCTTAATTGTAAAAAAAAAATTATAATGACCAAAAGAATCAAAATTGAATGTATGTATCGATGATTTATTATTGTATCACCATTTGGTGATTTATCAAGGCACAGTACGAACAATTTATCATATTTAATTATTTTAGTAAATGCAATGATTCTTTCGCACGGTACAATTAGTAAACATTATAGGTACGTTATATTTAATTATTATCCATTATATTTAATTACGGATTTGGATATTGTAAACAATTTATTATAAGTGATACATTTAATTCTATAATAAATTTAATTTTTGTTACGGTCTAAAAGGGGGAACTTGAAATTAACGTTAACCCAATTTTGGCGAATTTGAGCCAAAGATCGGCAAGTGCGTACAGTTTGTCTTCTCAGCACCAGTGGAATTCCCGCACTGGAAATTTTCTAAATACCCGACTCCATTAATAAATGGAGTTTTTATTGCGGGTGATTCCGTGTCAATTACAAATTCTAATGGCAATTAAAAGGCTATTAAGCGACTTCGATGTTTCGGCGTAGGCCATTTCGACCCTCTATACCGACCATGACATTTCTAGTTGAAACAATTTTTTGTCATAAAAAAAGATCACAGGCTACCTTAATACAATTATGTACAGAGATAATTGTCCCCAATATGTGTTTGTCCATATGAAATATGTAAAACGCTTTAAGTTTTTGACTCAATTTAATAGTAATGAATGTGGCAGGGATTGAGTTTTCACTGCTGTATGTAAGGCATAAAGAAAACAGTTCACGTTGCACAATGTATGCAATTTACACATCTACTCGTAAAATAAGTCATTTATGCTCCCCAACATGAGGTCGTGAGTTAGACCTTACATATTCACTAACCACTGACTCGAAAAGTAATAACATGATCATAATATACTTCTATATATAACTTATCTGTATGTATAAGAATAATGAAATCTAATCTAGTTTATGAAGGGCCAAGCAGGAGCTTTTATTGTCATGAATGGGCAAGACCGTCATAGGAAATACCACGGCTTGAGATAAGACAGACTTGAAGCAGAAGTTTTTAGTTTTTGCATTTAGCTTGGTATGTGAGATGACCGTCCCACATTTTTTGAGCTCCGTACCCAAAGGGTAAAAGGTATAATAGGGTCCCTATTACCAAAACTTCACTGTATGTCTGTCCGTCCGTCACCAGGCTGTATCTCATGAACTGTGATAGATAGAAAATTTCACAAATGATGTAATTCTGTTTCTATAACAACAAATACTAAATACAGGTCTTCCATACAATAGAGATCATTTTTGTGTCGTTTTTACATATAATGGTACGGAACTCTTCGTGCGCGAGTCCGACTCGCACTTGGCCGGTTTTTATTATAAGTTGCCAGTGCTATCGTTGGACTACAGTGTAACTATCATGTTCCTTTTCCATCCGACGCCTTCATGTAATCAATAAATACGGTGTAATAAAAAGAATAATGTACTGACTCCACCCTATACAGACTTGTGAATCATACGCTTCGACATTAAAAGTAAGGCGTGGTCCAAAAGTTTGGTTTTAAGAAGAAAAGTTGCGAAATACTTGCTATTTTTACTGCATTATAGAGTCGTATATTATATGTTTTTTTTTTTTTTTTTTTTTTTTATGGAGAAAAGGGGCAAACGAGCAGGAGGCTCACCTGATGGTAAGTGATTACCGCCGCCCATAAACACCTGCAACACCCGAGGGCACACAAATGCGTTGCCGGCCTTTTATATATGTGAAGAAAGTGTAACCGTATAATAATAATGTTATTTATTAATTCTCCATATGTTTTATACGTATGTGCTTTTAACTTGGTTCACCGAATAAACATTTTCACCATAACATTTTTAATTTAGCCCCCATTGTGCGCGTGCAGTTTTAAAATCCAATTTGGCACGAATTCCTCGGCTCCGTGCCAGGAACGCCGTCTAGTTTCAATGCCAAGCTATCTGGCAATACATCTACTTCACAGCGGAGTACGAATACTTAGTGGTTCATACAAATATACTTTCAGCGCTAACGAAATAGGACTGAATATCGTATGAAATGGAACCTGCAAAATGCTTGTAGGACATATGTGTACATGAAATAAGGCATGCTACATAAAAGTCATGTTTATAGAAACATATTTATTCATTAATTTATTTCTGAAAAATATCCAACACAGGGCAGTCAAGCCCTACCAACTGATGGTAAGAAGTGGCATCGTCATATGTGGTAACAAAAGTATAACGCAAGTTAAAGTTCAGTTAAAGCACATACACTCCTGCCTCTCACATTCGTGTTGATTACATTCGTTTACAGTACAAAAAATTAAAATGAAGAGAGATAATACAACTTTGACGACAAGAATAAAGAAACTCTGTCTAGTAAAGGCGCCAAATCACTAAAGTTTTCTCAAATAAATTTCCTTTTATATACTCACATGAAACTGAATTGCCACAAAATATCATAACTAAATTAAATAGATCCGTCAGAATACTACAGTACCTTGGATCTTCTGAAAATACAATGCCTGAAAGTATTGCCGCATATTTCTTACATCCATTGCGACAGCACTCGCGTCAGGCATTATTTTCAAAGAGTTCTCACATAAGCGGAATATTTCCTACTGTTTTTGTGAGGTAAATATAGTACCCATACATAAAAAAACGTAAACTTGGAGACATTAAAAACTA